AAGGGACCAATGAGGAAAATGGCAGTGAAGAGGACGACGACGAGGGCAATGGCAATGAACAAAACAAGGAAAGAAATCAAGAGGACAAAGAGACCAATGAGGAAGAGGGCAGTGAAGAGGACGACGAGGACAATGGCAATGAACAAAACAAGGAAAGAAATCAAGAGGACAAAGGGACCATTGAGGAAGAGGGCAGTGACTCTAGCGAGGACAATGAAGATGAGCAAATCCAGCAAAACGAAGACGAGGACGAGAGCACTGACGAGGAAGATGGGCAGTGAAGATGACCCAACAAAAGTCCTTAGTACTTAGCTATGTGTGTTTGCGTTTGTGCTTGTATGTTTTCCAATTAGAATATGATGATGCACTAGTGTGGGCTACATGCAGCTAAACTTAAGCATTAATTAGACAGATTTAATCGTGTTATGGATGCTTGTTTTATTAGACAAATGTAATGCTTTGACTGCGTTTTACTTTTAGTTAACAGGGTATCTCATCTGATATGATGTACAGTTACTAGAGAACATTGTGAATGGATCTATGTAATGCTCGTGTCAAGGTTTAGAGAACATTATGAATCATCTTTTTCATAAGTTTGAAGTTCTGGAAAAAAGTCCATTCTGTTTGAAACACCATTATAATAAGTACACGGGATAGTTCAACAGGTGAAAGTCTCCTACTGGAAATCTGACACCTTATACTGGTAATCTCACGACCGTAAAATACTCAAGTGAGATGTAAAAAGCAGTGCTTCATTCCTCAGGCAAATATCACGGCCGTGAGATGTCCCGTGAGATGCAAAGAGCAGTTCTCACTATCCCAGGAAATTTCACGGCTACTACTTGACATTGTCACGCCCGTCAAAATCTCACATTCTAGAGTTGTACCTTTACACTAAACTTAAAGTTGTACCTACACTTTCCTAAAAATCTTCTCTGGTACAATTCACAATTGTACCTATACACTATGGTACAACATTCTACACTTTCTAACAAATCCCTTTATGGTACAACTAAAAATTGTACTTATACTAATGGTACAACCTTAAGTTGTACCTACACTTTCTAATAAATCCCTTTATGGTACAACCCAAACTTGTACCTATACTAATGGTACAACTTTAATTTGTACCTACACTTTCTAAAAATCCTTCTATGGTACAACCCAAACTTGTACCTATACTATGGTACAACTTTAAGTTGTACCTACACTTTCTAATAAATCCCTTTATGGTACAACCCAAAATTGTACCTATACTAATGGTACAACCTTAAGTTGTACCTACACTTTCTCCAAATCCAGCTATGGTACAACCCAAACTTGTACCTATACCATGGTACAACTTTAAGTTGTACCTACACTTTCTAACAAATCCCTTTATGGTACAACTAAAAATTGTACCTATACTAATGGTACAACCTTAAGTTGTACCTACACTTTCTCAAAATTCATTTATGGTACAACTAAAAATTGTACCTATACTAATGGTACAACCTTAAGTTGTACCTACACTTTCTCAAAATTCTTTTATGGTACAACCCAAACTTGTACCTATACCATGGTACAACTTTAAGTTGTACCTACACTTTCTAACAAATCCCTTTATGGTACAACTCAAAATTGTACCTATACTAGTGGGACAACTTTAAATTGTACCTACACTTTCTAATAAATCTCTTTATGGTACAACTCAAATTTGTACCTATACTAATGGTACAACCTTAAGTTGTACCTACACTTTCTCAAAATCCTTCTATGGTACAACCTAAACTTGTACCTATACTATGGTACAACTTTAAGCTGTACCTACACTTCCTAAAAATCCTTCTATGGTACAACCCAAACTTGTACCTATACCATGGTACAACTTTAAGTTGTACCTACACTTTCTAACAAATCCCTTTATGGTACAACTCAAAATTGTACCTATACTAATGGTACAACCTTAAGTTGTACCTACACTTTTTCAAAATTCTTTTATGGTACAACCCGAACTTGTACCTATACCATGGTACAACTTTAAGTTGTACCTACACTTTCTAACAAATCCCTTTATGGTACAACTAAAAATTGTACCTATACTAATGGTACAACTTTAAGTTGTACCTACACTTTGTGAAACAAATTCTTCAATGGTACAGCTGAAACTTGTACCTATACTATATGGTACAACTCTAATTTGTACCTACACTTGTATACATTGATACATTATTTACAAGATTGCCATTAATGATGTGAGACCAGTCATTTAGTGGGTTACCTCCTCAACAGGTCACCTTTTTTTTTTGTTTTTTATAGCATGGGTGCTATAGAGCACACTAGAAGGGCTCGAGATTAGAAAGCTAACAATAATAATAATCAAATACCAATGAATCCTTCTCTGCGCATAGATTTATGAGTTCGCTCAAATTTCTCTTTGATTCCTCCAGATGTTTTGCTGCTTTCTCGGGGGTGTCATGAGTGACAGCTATCGAAGATACTATTCCGGAAGCATTCTTAGCACTGGTCATGGAAAAGTGTAAGTATAAGTAAATTAAAAGATAAAATTATAGTGGGATGTGAACAGAAATATACGCTTTAATGAGGCCGCCGAAATCATCACTGGAATAAGGGTGGAAGCTGCCGCCATCTATTGTTTGGGGGTTCAAGATTATGCGGGTAGCAGAACAACTTGATGCTCCAACTTGATCTTCAAATTTAATTATCAAATTGTTAACATATATGAAATTGCATGAGAATGATTCCATCACAACGACATTTCAGACCCAAAGAAGTTTCTCTAGTAATAGGAATGCGTACCTCGAAAAGCTGATATAGTAAGTCCACCAATAGCAATTATTACAGGTGCTGTTAGAGCATCCTGAATCAGTTGAGTAGCACTAAGCTTATATGCTAATTCCCCCCACAAAGAAATTGACAATTCGGCTCCCCTTTATTATACAAAGATGGGTTAGATCTAAGATATATATTTGATGAACAAAAACAAAACTGACAAAATACCTTTCGTTTTTCAGAACTAATTTTTGGTGAGGTGCGGTACCATGTTGAGTAATTTTGTGGTCAATCTCACTGATTGAACTCAGCCAGCCAATAACATCTGCTTATTAGAAAAGGCATGTGCATTATCACACATGGTTTAAAGTGTTGCTTATTATGAAAGGCAAGTATCAATATCACACATAGTTTAAGAGAGCATAAGCACAGTACATCCTACCTGTCAATATTTTGTTTGATCCTACACGATTTCGCAAAGACTCAAATTGGCAGAAGTCGAAGTTGTCTGAGACAAAATCTGTAGCAAAGGCAGTAACATCTTCAAAGTCTGTTGCTGGGACAATGGAGATACATATGTTGTTCATGCATGGTCTGTAGAGTTCTTTGGCTGGCCTTGTTATAAATTCCTTTATACAATATACAGAACCAGTACTGAGTTTGGACTCCTTTTGGCCAGCAAAATTCCGATCACTAAGACCATGGATGAGCATCCCCTAAGAACAGAGAAAGTCATCAATGTAATGAATCGTCCAACATATGATTAGCCAGGAGATGGAGAAGAAAAGCAAAAATTATTAGATAATCATATTACCGTTTCATCAACCCATAGGGTACTGTAATCGTACACATATCCAGGATTTGCTGGATTAGTAGACTTCCATGAGTGGATGAGGCGGAGCTTGAGGACTCCTGTGTTGTCGCCAACAGTAAGCTCGTGTAGGAACTTGGTTTTAGTTTCAGAGAACATATTGCAAAGGAAGAAGTAATCGCAATGAAAGGGTAAATTTGTGAGTGCTTGGTGTTTATAACGAAGGTCAATTTAAAGGGATTTATATAGCTGCGTTGTCTTTTTCCTTAACAACTTCGTCTTGGACAAATTATACAGAAGTAGAACTAAATAGTTATATATGAAAGTATAATTGGAGAGAAATTGTACTTTTCCTTAATTGCTTCCTTGTCCTTTTCCTTCTCCTTAACGACTTTATTTTGGACAAATGCATAACTGAATAGTTTTTCTTTTATTCCCCTATTAGAATTATTAAACTATTCCTTATTAGCTTCGTTGGTATATGTTTGGCTTTAATATAAAGTGTTTTAAGTGTTTTTCTACTATTTAGTTTCATAGCAGTAGACATTCTCCTAATCAGTCATGTTTACACATTACACATATATAACATTATGAGGCTTGGGGAAATCACCTAACGCACACATGGATGTATCTCATTTTGCAGTCCCTAATGGATGAAAACATCTACTTAATTGATTCTTAATGTAGTCTCAATAGAACTGCACTACAATGATTCTAGCAATAGTATTCAAATATCAGTTTTCTTACCTTTCCAAGTGAAAGAGAAATGCCACTGGTAAGAAGTTAAGGCCTGAACTCTTATCTTCTGACGATTTATGTCCATAATATCCCCTTAATGATGTTAGCCTTTGCATAGTAGAAAGCATATTCAGCCACCCTCAAACTGGCCTGGCGAGCAATGATCTTGAGGCTTTCAAATACACATCTTACCACCTACCTTCCAAAATCATCATTATGTCAAAGTTCATTAAGACATATAATTGGCTAGCTGCAAGTTAACCAAAGCCAGATAGAAAACTCACTTGGTGGCTGGTGCTCAAGTCCACTGTATTCTCATTCAGTGCTCTCACGAATGGTGATGAGATTCACATCATTTTATCGGGCTTTGTAACCCGGAAGGCTGTAGCAAGGCCTGACATTGGCATACAGGTTAAGAATGATGGCCCTTTCCAATTGCTGTAGCCACTGGCCCTTTCAAATCCACTCGGTTTCTTCTCACAGACTCCAAACTTTACCATGTCAGAAAGGTCTGGGTTTGAGGATCTACCTCAGTCCCGACATAATGTTATTCCCATTCAACTGGTACCTCAGCTTCCCTGAAAATCTGTACATGTAACCACACTCAAGTTAAATCAAATGAAGAACAAACAACTAATTAAACTTCTAATCACCTCCAAAGAATCGTCCATCAAAAGAATCACTGAGAAATGGAGATAACCCCTTTCACCTTCCCCTGAAATCCAACAGATGCTAAATCAACCCAAATGGAGGGAAGAATCTCCATCTTGAAATCGAGAAGCTTGAGTTGGAAGGGGAAACGAAGAAGGTGGGTCGCATAGGAAGGGAACAACACTAATGAAGAACCTGACCTTCTTCCGCCGCCGTATCTTTCGTCGCCACCGTCTCCCTCCGCCGTGACATCAACCCAAATGGAGGGAAGAATCTCCATCTTGAAATCGAGAAGCTTGAGTTGGAAGGGGAAACGAAGAAGGTGGGTCGCATAGGAAGGGAACAACACTAATGAAGAACCTGACCTTCTTCCGCCGCCGTGTCTTTCGTCGCCACCGTCTCCCTCCGCCGTGACATCAACCCAAATGGAGGGAAGAATCTCCATCTTGAAATCGAGAAGCTTGAGTTGGAAGGGGAAACGAAGAAGGTCGGTCGCATAGGAAGGGAACAACACTAATGAAGAACCTGACCTTCTTCCGCCGCCGTGTCTTTCGTCGCCACCGTCTCCCTCCGCCGTGACATCAACCCAAATGGAGGGAAGAATCTCCATCTTGAAATCAAGAAGCTTGATTTGGAAGGGGAAACGAAGAAGGTGGGTCGCATAGGAAGGGAACAACACTAATGAAGAACCTGACTTGGCTAGCCGCCAAGAAATTCGTCCCCTCCTTCTTCCGCCGCCGTGTCTTTCGTCGCCGCCGTGTCTTTCGTCCCCTCCTTCTTCTGCCGCCGTGTCTTTCGTTTTTCGGCGTCCAAACAGCGGGTTCAGAGATGGAAAATCTTTTGTCATGTTTTTTATCTCATGGGGAAAAAAAGGGAGGAAGAATCTTTCATCGCCGCCGTGTCTTTCGTCCCCTCCTTCTTCCGCCGCCGTGTCTTTCGTTTTTCGGCGTCCAAACAGCGGGTTCAGAGATGGAAAATCTTTTGTCATGTTTTTTATCTCATGGGGAAAAAAAGGGAGGAAGAAGAGTGGTCGTAGAGGAAAATGTGAGCAGAGAAAGGATGGGGAAGGAAAAGTTCCATCTTGAAAAAGGGAGAGTTCAAGATGAGAGAGGAGAGAGGTGACAGTGGGTTTTGATTTGATGCAGAAGAACAGAGAGAAGAGAGGATTTGATTTGACCTAAGCGAATAAAGAGAATAGGTTTGGGGCCCACGATGAAGACTATTATCAATGGTCACGGTTTGTCTAAATATTAGAATCAACGGTCAGACTTGGACTACCCAAAGATGAGCTCACGTAGATACGACCGCACAAAATCACTAAGCCACTCCGTGAACAGTGTTGCGCGATTTTTTCGTAATGAACAGTGATTTTTGATTTTTGGTAAGTTTTGTCTGCTTGTGGCTTAGGTTCTTCATTAGTGTTGTTCCCTTCCTATGCGACCCACCTTCTTCGTTTCCCCTTCCAAATCAAGCTTCTCGATTTCAAGATGGAGATTCTTCCCTCCATTTGGGTTGATGTCACGGCGGAGGGAGACGGTGGCGACGAAAGACACGGCGGCGGAAGAAGGTCAGGTTCTTCATTAGTGTTGTACCCTTCCTATGCGACCCACCTTCTTCATTTCCCCTTCCAACTCAAGCTTCTCGATTTCAAGATGGAGATTCTTCCCTCCATTTGGGTTGATGTCACGGCGGAGGGAGACGGTGGCGACGAAAGACACGGCGGCGGAAGAAGGTCAGGTTCTTCATTAGTGTTGTTCCCTTCCTATGCGACCCACCTTCTTCGTTTCCCCTTCCAACTCAAGCTTCTCGATTTCAAGATGGAGATTCTTCCCTCCATTTGGGTTGATTTAGCATCTGTTGGATTTCAGGGGAAGGTGAAAGGGGTTATCTCCATTTCTCAGTGATTCTTTTGATGGACGATTCTTTGGAGGTGATTAGAAGTTTAATTAGTTGTTTGTTCTTCATTTGATTTAACTTGAGTGTGGTTACATGTACAGATTTTCAGGGAAGCTGAGGTACCAGTTGAATGAGAATAACATTATGTCGGGACTGAGGTAGATCCTCCAACCCAGACCTTTCTGACATGGTAAAGTTTGGAGTCTGTGAGAAGAAACCGAGTGGATTTGAAAGGGCCAGTGGCTACAGCAATTGGAAAGGGCCATCATTCTTAACCTGTATGCCAATGTCAGGCCTTGCTACAGCCTTCCGGGTTACAAAGCCCGATAAAATGATGTGAATCTCATCACCATTCGTGAGAGCACTGAATGAGAATACAGTGGACTTGAGCACCAGCCACCAAGTGAGTTTTCTATCTGGCTTTGGTTAACTTGCAGCTAGCCAATTATATGTCTTAATGAACTTGATTTGGAAGGGGAAACGAAGAAGGTGGGTCGCATAGGAAGGGAACAACACTAATGAAGAACCTGACTTGGCTAGCCGCCAAGAAATTCGTCCCCTCCTTCTTCTGCCGCCGTGTCTTTCGTCGCCGCCGTGTCTTTCGTCCCCTCCTTCTTCCGCCGCCGTGTCTTTCGTTTTTCGGCGTCCAAACAGCGGGTTCAGAGATGGAAAATCTTTTGTCATGTTTTTTATCTCATGGGGAAAAAAAGGGAGGAAGAATCTTTCGTCGCCGCCGTGTCTTTCGTCGCCGCCGTGTCTTTCGTCCCCTCCTTCTTCCGCCGCCGTGTCTTTCGTTTTTCGGCGTCCAAACAGCGGGTTCAGAGATGGAAAATCTTTTGTCATGTTTTTTATCTCATGGGGAAAAAAGGGATGAAGAAGAGTGGTCGTAGAGGAAAATGTGAGCAGAGAAAGGATGGGGAAGGAAAAGTTCCATCTTGAAAAAGGGAGAGTTCTAGATGAGAGAGGAGAGAGGTGACAGTGGGTTTTGATTTGATGCAGAAGAACAGAGAGAAGAGAGGATTTGATTTGACCTAAGCGAATAAAGAGAATAGGTTTGGGGCCCACGATGAAGACTATTATCAATGGTCACGGTTTGTCTAAATATTAGCATCAACGGTCAGACTTGGACTACCCAAAGATGAGCTCACGTAGATACGACCGCACAAAATCACTAAGCCACTCCGTGAACAGTGTTGCGCGATTTTTTCGTAATGAACAGTGATTTTTGATTTTTGGTAAGTTTTGTCTGCTTGTGGCTTAATAATTCTAATATGTTCTACTGCTGAATTACCACTACAGAACAAGAAAGGTAAAGTAAACTACTGTTACTAACGGTAACTGATCTATCCAATAACAAAACGCCAAGTGGCTTGCTATCTCTTATTATCTGGACTAATGAACGACGTCGTTCCCTTTTGTAGAGTCCACTACTTAGACGAAGCGACGTCGGATTGCTGCAGCCTATCTTCTTCTTCGTCTCAGGTGAAAGAGCCCGAGACGACTCTGACCTTCGAGCTCTTCATCAATGGCTGCACACAGCATCAATCCTTCACAATTTGGGGGAGGCCTGCACTGTGATATTTCCCCTGTACTTCCTTTCCATCGCACTGTTACTCTCTTCAGAAACGTGTGAAAACGCCTACAGGTTCCCACTTTCCATTCCTATTTTCTCTTCTCCTTTTCCTTTATTCTAGAACAGAGGGTTAGCCTTGAATTGTGATTACATATCAGTAACACCAATGACATTAGCAATAAAACCTGATGATAAAGCAGAACTCAACCTATCAAATTAATCTCTATTGCACTTGTTTCTATTTCCACCTTGTGAATCACGCCCAAACCCATTCGTTATTAGACCGAATCAAATACCCATTTGAATCAATCCTGTTCCCAGCTTCCCTTACCTTTCGCCCAATCCCAGATAGATTCACAAGACCAGACCAGACCAAACTATGTCCGCCTACCTTCTCAAACTTCCAATTCTAGATGCTCAACACTATAATCCCATTCATCAACAAGTCTAAGAATGCTGTTATCATATGTAGGCGAACGAGAAGAGGCAACAAAATGAAATGGTCAAATCCACAGATAACATGCAAAACAACATTTCTTATATATTATAGATATATAGATATATAGTTCAGCATCTGTGTGTAAAATTACAAGACAAAACTACCATAGATGAGTCCGTTTTTCTCTTCTTTTCTTTTTCCTACAGCATCCGAGTCTCTCTCTGAAGATTTAGCTATATAACATTAGCCAACATGCCAACCTAACCAAGTGACCCCTATGTCCATAAGTGTAAACCTTGTTACATTCTGCAATTGCTCTGCTGCAGAAACAGTTCCCTCCCTGGAGAAAAGTTACATCAAGCTATGTTGCCCGAATCTTAAAATGATGTGAGCGTATGACAGACCACAATCATGAGCCGGCCAGCTAGATGCCGAGCCACTTCCTCTACTTATATCCTTCATGAATCATGAACGAACCAGGAGCCACAGAACCCCAAATGGCGAAAAAGGATCAATGGGAACCGTAAGCAGGTGATACTACACAATCACATTCACATTATCAACAGAAAAGCAAACCCTAAAAGCCCTACCGAGGAGAAGAAAAAACCAGAGCGAGAAGACTGCCACAGTTCCATTGTCACCTTTTTTGGCTGCTGCTGCAAAGTAAAGTTATAGTCTTTTTCCTTTTATTAACAGATAGAACCCACAAACTTCTTAATCTCATCCATCACAGTATGGAAGTGAGCATTATTTGGCAACAAATAGAACCCTATCGTCGCCTTCTCAAGATACAAATCCTTCACTTGTTGCCCAGCCTCCTTCAGCCCTTCAACATAAGCCATTTGCCAATCTTGCACAAGATCCAAACCAGCAACAACAACAAGACTCTTTGGGAACTTTACTCCTACTAGACTAGCAGCTTTTGGACCAAATGGATTACAAGCTGGATGATCCCTATCAGCACCATCAGGAAGAAATGCCCTCCAATACCAATCCCTATCCTGCACTGAAACAAAATACTTCCCATCCAATCTCTTCTCTGATTCAGTTCTCAATTCCCCACCAAACATTGGATTCAGCAATATATTCCCCAACACTTCAATTCCCGATTCCGATTCAGCAGCTTTCAAAGCAACATGGTGAGCAATATTCCCACCAGAGCTATCTCCAGCCAAAAAGATGTGAACTTTCGAGTCCTTACTCTCGAGCCATGTCCTCGATTTGACCCAGTTGAGCACCGTCCAGCCATCATCATAAGCGCAAGGATACCGATGTTCAGGGGCACGTCTGTAATTTACTGAGACCACCACGGCTTTGCACAGACCAACTAATCTTCGACACAATGTGTCATAGATAGCACTGTTGGCAGAAGAGTGTGCAAAGCTTCCACCATGGAAGAAGACAATCACAGGGACAGTATGGGAGGATTCGGACTTCACAGGCTTCTCGAGATCAGCAACATTTGGCGGGTCGTCAGTATCAGAAGGCCGGTAAATACGGCAGAGGAGATTTGTGGCTCGATCGACAATAACATCGAATGAGAACACACGGTCAACAGGGTTCGCATTGGCGGCGACCTTCCGGTCGAGGAACTCGGCCAAATGACGGTTGAATGTTCCATCCGGTCGCCGGAGAAGGTTGTATGCTAACTTGAAGTTGGATATTAGGACCCATGTGTTCAAAGGGACCACCATCTGCACAAAGAAAAGCAGAAAGGGTTGGCCAAACAATTTCCAAATGTTCATCCCTAACTGGTAAAATTTGTCCGTAATGGACAGGGATAACCCCTTTCCCTTTACCAAATCTCTTATTAGGTAAAAAGGAAACTACGGAGATGAATGGAGCAGCTAATTTCACTCATTATCTCCCAGTCAACAATAATTCTAACTCGAGACAAAAGAAATCAACTCCAGAAAAACCATTATCTCGCACTTCTCGAATGGAAACCCAGAAAGTTCAAAGACCCATCTCCAAAATAAGTCCATAGCCATAAACAACACCAGCAAAACTAAATGAACCAGTCTGATCAAAACCATACCCCATCTCAAAAACTCAAAAATTTTATCACAATGAAGCATAAGGACCATACGAGGGACTGAACCCAAAACAGAAAAGAAGAAGAAGGGTACCTTGCTTTCATTTATGCTAACTTCGTTACTCCGAGCCATGTTTGCCACTCAGTGCAACGCTTTCCTGCCGGGAGAAGCAGAATACCAAAGGGACAAGAGATCGCAATATCCAGGCTTACATGCTCTGAACCCAAGATAAGCCCAAAATTACACAAATCGGAAAACAGAAGCTCGCCGATCGTTTATCAGGGGTCAAAAGATCACTGCATGAGTTAGTGATCAGACCTCGGAAAGCTGGAGAAAACGAAAAGGGTAGGCCCAAATAAGCCCCGATTTGGTGACTAATCGGTGGGATTAGAGAGATTCGTCAAAGAGAAATGGAAAGTATTTGGTAAATCTGACTGCTAAGGAGAAGGGGGAAAAGAAAACCTTTTTGCGGAAATGTCCCAGAAGAAGAACAAATTAGAGGGAGGGGGGGCGCGGGCGAAGGATAAGGACGGTGGTGCAGTTTAATTCTGGATAAGCAAAGGGATCTAAATTGCGCAGAGGGGTGAGGTGGCGCAAGAGAGAGCCACAGAAGACAGAACTCAGAGAGGACAAAGTGTGCGGCCGAAAGATAACTGTTGCGTGGGTTCCACTGATGCGAAAACAAAGAATAAACAAAAAAGATTTTAAATTTTTGTGCCAGAAAAGGTCAAACGTGCAAACCAAGCGGCTTACAAAGGTTAAATATTATTCGGCACTTGGTTTGTTTTCCTTTGAACATAAACAAATTGGGAGATTAGAGTACCAGCTAAGGGAGCTAGCTATTGACCGGATAATACAAAGAAGGAGCCAGATGAGGCTTTTGTGTTTGACCCATTCACATGAGATACTGGCATCAGATCAGAAGAGCGAGAAAATAGTATTCATGTACGGGTCGCTGCATACGGGACGGTAATGCAACTTTTGGTATTTAAGATAGGTTACCATCCTAAAATCTTACGAGAAGTTGTATCAGAAATTTCAGTATCTTATGTTGAAATTGTTGTTCAGCTGTTTCATATTACTAAATATTGTTCAGTGCAGCCTTGTGGTTGTGGGTGTGCGGGAATGTATTTGGCACAGCCGCACAAGGCCTCCAAATTAGAGGGACCTCTGGGATCTTCATTATGTATAGGACTAATTACTATCATCATGGAGTATTGGGTTTTAATTATGAGTTTGAAATAATAGAAAATTAATACATTGGTCTTTGATTACCTGTTTAAAACAATGATAAAGTTAAGTTCGAACGTCAAAAGAACGAATGGATCATGTGCGAGGAACTTAT